TTCTCCCGCTAGCTAGCCTGGCGGGAGAATTCTGGGAGTTGAAGTCCACTGATCTTCAAGGTGCCGAGGTTGAGAAACACTGTTTTAGAGGGTCCTTGAAGCACTTGGAAATTTATCTGTGTCCTCAGGGTCACCTGAGTAGTATGTATATGCATACATACATAAAAGGTACCTTACACTTTAAAAAAAATACACGAGATAAGTAGCCCCTTGACACAATAGATGTGTCTATTACATCTACGTGGTAGATGTAATGTTTGTTTTTCTGTCAACATGAAAGACTGAGGTATTATTGTTTGTCTAAGGCCCCGTCCTGTTTGATTTTGTTCCGTGTAAGACTATTTCAGTCTGGGACGTCCATTTGGTTTAATGTTTTTAATCAGTGTTTATGTTTTTTTCTACTTTTGTACACTGCCCAAGGTCCACGGAGTGGCTTTGAATTCACATGAATAAATAAATAATAGACACAAAGCTTTCCGTTGATAACTTTGGGAGGCGATTAGCATACAAAGTTCTCTCCTGAGGCATTCTTGCAAGTCAGGAAGTTGAGCCATGGCAAATGGTTTCTTGAAACACTCTCAAAAGTGTCAGGGGACTGAAATCAGTTTCCAGACTTCATGGTGTCCACCGCTGAATGGACTACTTTAGGACCAGAAAGTGGGGCCAAATGTTGGCCCCACTTTCTTACATATGAATAAACACCTGATGTAATCATCATGTCAAGCCATGGTTTGCTTAATGTCAGTTAGTAAAGAATAAACCACACAGGCTGTGTTCCTATGAGATGCTTCCATATGATTGTCCCAAAGGTGCTTTTTCCCAAAAGGGAATTGGACTTTCTTGGGGTTTTTTTCCCTTTAAAAACATTTCACTCCTCATCCAAGAAACTTCTTTAGTTCAGTTCTTCAGAACTGGGTGAGAAGTGAAATGTTTTCAAAAGAAAAAAAACCAAATACAACCCAGCTCCCTTTTGGGGGGAAAAACACCTTTGGGACAACCATGACCTGGAAAATTGAAAATCTCCACAGACATTCATCCATATTTAATAGGATCACGTTGTATTCAATTTCGTAACTTAGAGAACAAAAGCAAAGGCTGAAATCAAATTGCCTCAGCTTATTAGCTTCTCTGAATTGGGTCATTGAAAGTTAGTAGGCTGGGTCTAGGACGGTGATGGTGAACCTTTTTTGCCTCGGGTGCCAAAAGCAAGTGGGCACGTGCTATCGTCCATTCCCGAACTTCCAGTTTGGGTGTTGGGTGCTTTTTTGCCCTCCGGATGATTTAGGGAAGCCTCCAGAGGGCAAAAAAAAGGCTGAAAATCAGCTGGCCAGTGCATGCATGCACGCTGGAGCTAACAGGGCAACACCTCACACGCCTTCAGAAATGGCTCCCCATGCCACTAGTGCAGTGTTTCTCAACCTTGGTGACTTGAAGTCCTNGAAGCTGAAGTAGGATGTTGTAGCAATTTTGTGTACTATGCTTAGGTCAGACTGTAGGCGGCGTAGTTCCAGGTTGTCCAAGCCCAAAGTTTCAGGCCTAGTGGTATTTCACCCAAGTCAAGCTCTTCACTCAGATTTCTGTGCTCTGATCCAGCTGTTGGCGCTCAACATTTTCCAAATACGGTGGGATTTTGATGCTTAGCTCATTGAAAAGGGAGGCCCTGGGTTTCCTCTAATTCAGAATATGTTAATGAAGAAGTTAAGGACCAGAGCAGAACAACTGAGCTGCTTATAGTGGCTGGAATTGCAAGAATAGATCAGATGTGAATCTCCACTAAAGGGATGGACATTAAATACTCATCCCACCAGCATTCAGATGCACTTGATGGAGATGTGGTTGAATGAATATTTTGTACAAACCCCTCCAGCTTTAGAGATGTAACTTTAACTTTCAGATGGCTAAATCAATCTCTTTAGTCAGAGAAAAAATAATAATATTTACATTTACTGCTGACTGGAAACCTCTTATAGACCTCTCGCATAAAATAGGAAAAATGCACTTATGATTTGTGGTTTTGATAATTAGGAAAAAATGGATAATAGCAAAGAGTGAGCTTTCTTTCATAATTACAGAGTAAGAGATATTTTGGATATTTGCTGCAAAGAAAATTGAAAGCTGCTGCTTTTTTCTATTTCTTTCTGTTTTTTTTTCTTTCTGTCCTTTTGCTTTTTTCTTTCTTTTTTCTTAACTGCTTTACTCTTTATTATTTTGTGTTAGTTTACACATATTTTTAAAAAAGAGAGAAAGAGATGTGCATTCTACTTTCTGATTGGTGCTTGAATGCATTTTGAATTTAGTGCCTGAAAGAACTTCTGAGGGAAAATGGCATTTTTAATGTCTTTTAATGGCCATGGCACACAATTGAGGGTTTTCATGTTTCTTTTTCAGAAGGACCTGAATTAAGGATATCCCAAAGGTGCTTTTTCAAGAGGCAACTGGAGCAGTTGNTTTTTTCATTTTCATAACAAATAACCACATGTATACTGTTACCTAACCAACATTATTTTATATTATTAAATATTTACATCAATTCGTCTTACCATCGACCCCCAAGAACAATTATTAGCTCTTCTGCTCTCCATACACCCTACGCCAAAAGAGAATTCTATTCTATTTTTTTACACGCAGACAGAAAGAAGTCATTTTTTTGCAGCCCGCGTCTGTCTTGCAAGGCGAGAACTGCCAGCTGTCCGGAGTGGGAAAGGCGAGGGTGTTTTCAGAAGCTCAGCTCCGGATTGGCTCCCTTCACACGTCCAGAATTTTTTGGGTGCTTCTAATTCCAGCAGAGGCGCCCTCTCCCCTCCCCTTACGAGACTGGGGAGGAGCCGCGGCTGGTGGCCCGCGAAAAAAACTCCGCCCGCCGTAGAAAGGAAGGCATTCATTCATTCTCCTCCGCTCGGATCCAGCCGTTCGGGACGCTCACGTCAGCCTTGCGATCGCCCGCCTTGACGGTCCTGCCGCTGCTCTCGAGACAGAAAGGTCTGAAAGCGAATTGAGGAGAGAGAGAAAAGAAAGAAAAGAGGAAAAGTGGGAGAAAGGAAAAAGAAAAGAGGAGAAGGGAAAAGAAAAAAAGAGGAAAAGAGAAGAAAGGAAAAGAAAAAAAAGAAGAAAAGAGGAGAGAAAGGAAAGAAAAAGAAAGGAAAAGGGGATAAAGGAAAAGAAAAGAAAGGAAAGGAAAAGAGGAGAAAGGAAAAGAGGAGGAAGGAAAAGAAAAAAGAGGAAAAGAGGAGAAAGGAGGAAAGGAAAGGGGGAAAGAAAAGACAGAAGAAAGGAAAAAGAAAGGAAAGGAGAAGGAAAGAAAGGAAAGGGGGAAAGGACAACTTTCGCGCACGGAGATCAAGTGGATTACTCGGACCCGATCCCCTGGGCTTGCCAATGGCCAAAGGAGAAGGAGCTGAGAGCGTCTCTTCGGCTGGCCTCTTGCAACCGAGCATCTTAAAACCGGAGGAGCTAATCCCATCCAAGGTAAAGCGAAAGTCAGCGGCGGAAGCGGGAGGGCGAAGGCCAAAAGGGGCCGGGGGAAGAAGAAGAAAAAAGTTAACTAAGGCGCGGAGAGGCTGGAAACCGCGCGCGAAACTGGCCCTGCTTGCAAGCCCAAGGAAGATCGACTCCCGAGGAAGCGCGGCTAGAAATAGCTGGGCGATCCACGTGCAGCCCCCCGGGGCAGTCGATCCACCGGGAAGGGATCCCCAGAGAGCCAGAAAGCATGGAATGTGTCTGGGCGGTGCGCGCTACTCGCTGGCTTCCCCCCCTCCTCCCAAGCGGACCCGGGAGAGCCTGAAACGCCCCCTCCCCAAAATCAAAGGGGTCCTGGAAGGCGAAGTTCGGCGAGCCGTCCGGATCCCTCTCTCCGGATCAGGGCGGAGGTGGGCGGGCGGGCGGGCGGACGAGCCTTCCTTATAAGTCTCGGAGCCTTCAAATTCGAGCGGGCTCTGGGTGAGCGATCCACCATGGCTCTGCTGCGGACGCTTTCTGGCCCCTGGCGTTTCCTCAAGGTTAGTCCCTCCCGGTAGGTCGGACGTGCGGACGGGGCAACGGGAGAGTAGTGAAGGGGACTGAGAAGAGAGGGAGGAAGAAGAGGGGTTGACTTACACCGCGTGGAAGCCCCCCGCCTCTTTTAATAAGAGCTCCCACCTCGGGTTTTTCGGCGAGTCAGCCTTGGAGTTGTAACTAAAAGCGCTACGAGGCCTCGTGGAGTTCAAGTCCATTCATAAACGGTGAGAGGAAGGGACGGCCCCCGCTTTGGGCGGCCGCTTCCTCTTTTGGAAAATATATACATATAAATATAATACACGAGAAAAGCAGTCGGCTTGTTTCTCCTTTTTTGTAAAAATGTATTTAATGGGGAAGGGGGCAGGTTTTCCTTTAGTTTCTTTCTCAAAACTTCGTGGCCGTGTGTGTTTGTGTGTGTGTGTTTCTGCCTCTTTAAGAAACAACTGTGGTGCTCTTACGGAGAAGTTGCAGGTTGTTTCCGAAAGGGGTGGGGTGAGGTTTTAATGCGAGGATGGCTTTTCGAGGATTTAGCTTCCCTCGTAGCCGTGGGTGGCCGGAATGCCCCGATTTTTAGCGTGGGGTGGGAAGTGATCGGTGGGTGAGAATGTGAGCCTGGGACTTGAGAGGTCTTGAAAGAATGAATGAACTCAGTGCTGAAAATCGTCTGGCGCTCTCTTACTCAGTTTCCGCTTCTGACCAGGATGGCCAGTGAACTGACCAGGATGTCAGGAAACAAACCTTAATAGAAAAGGACAATTCAGCCTGTGGCTTCTCTCTTAGACTTGGTGTTTATAATCTGTAACCTGAGCACTGAAGGGATGGTTGGCTTTTGAGGGAGAGTTTGTTGGAGTCTGTGAGACGGTTTTTGGGTGACCAGTTATGTTTTAAATAAATGGCCTGTTTCACTCAAAAGGCTAAACACCAAATCACTGCACATCCAACTGCACTGTAGTCTAACCATGCAAACATGGCCACTGTATATTGATCTTGGGGTAACCATTGAATGTAAGCCAGGGTTCAGGGCATAGCATTTGGCTAGGCATTACGGCACTCACCCGATGTTTTGAATTTAAATACCCATTCAGCCTCAGCCAGCATATCCAATGGCAAGAGAATGCAGGACTGTATCCAAAATACCTGGAGAACATCAAATTGTCCACCTCTGATTAAGAATGATGTGAAGATAGTCTTTGTGTCTGGGTATCTTAACTGGAAGGGTCTCACTATTCCCTCACTTGTAAACTGCCTTTTCAGTAGTAAAAACTGAACTGAATTTCAGAAAAGAAGTCTAGTTAAATCAGGAATTGCAAACTCTTTCAAAACATCTCTAAAAATCACTCCTGCGATTTCAGCCAATATGTTTATGATGATCCTTCTGAGTTCACACCACTTGTATTTACCAGTTGGTTGGATTGGATGTGTGATTACCGCAACTTATTGGAGATGATGCACAATTGCTATGTTCACCCAACATACATAATCGTAGTAGTATAGCCTTTATTGTCATTGTACATCATGTATACAATGAAATTGGTTAATAATCAACACTGGTAAAAATCCAGTGGTATTCAAAACTCTGCTTTAACTTCTGGATTGGATCCAACAGGGGGAAGAGGACCTGAAAGACGAATAATTTAATGCAACGTCTCAAGTTTTTCAATCTGTAATAATCATTGATAGCACATCCAGAGTTGTTTGGGTGAATGGAGAGGCTGTTACAGCCGTACACCCTGCTGGCAGTGGGAGAAAGTGTTTCATTGTTTTTTCACCCCAATTGGGTTGAAAGTGTGAACAAGCACCACTTTTTCTGGACTAGCTTCTATGATCTGTCCTTGGTGAGATTTATTGCCTGTTTAAGCTGGGATATTTGCTAAGAGTGAACAAAGAAAGTTGTTGCTAGAAAGTAGGAGTGATAAATACCCTGGGAAGATACGTGCAAATACTGCTAAAGAGTCTAGAAGGTGCAAAATTCTCCCTTTCTAAAACCAAGTACAAACCAAAGCACTGGGTCAATTTCTTGTTCAGTGTATTGTGTGAATCCAGAAAATAAGTTAATTCCATAAATTGGGTTGGGTGAATTTAAAGATGAATTGAATTTGTGGAACATAGAGCAAGTATTTCTCATCCATCCTTAAGACATGGGAACGTTAACTCCTAGAATTTCCCAGCCAACTTGCGGGGAATTGAAGTCCACATGTCTTAAAATGGCCAAGGCTGAGAACCACTGATACAGAGCGGGTCCTATTTGATCTTTCTTCTGTAGTTTTAACCATTGCTTCCAAATTTTCTTTTCCAGAGAGAAAGCAAAACAAAGCTATCGATATGCAGCAAAGTATGTTATGCCATTGGTGGAGCACCCTATCAAATCACTGGTTGTGCTTTGGGATTCTTTCTCCAGATTTACTTGCTGGACGTGGTGCAGGTAAGTCTTAACTGGCTTCAGTCTTTTCTTTGAGGCTGGGGGTGGGTGGTCAAATCAAGACTTATTGGGGACTCCAATTGGATTCAACTCTAGGCTGAGCCATGTCTAAAGATTTGCACCCAGTATAGATTTTCTTTAAGGGCTGTTTGTTTGGGTTAGAGTTCCCAAAAGCTTTTCTTTCCATNCAAATCCCTTCCAACTCTGGGATTCTATTCTTATTCTAAAGCAGTGTTTCTCAACCTTGGCAACTTGAAGATGTCCGGACTTCAACCCCCAGAATTCCCCAGCTAGCGAAAGCTGGCTGGGGAATTCTAGGAGTTGAAGTCCGGACATCTTCAAGTTGCCAAGGTTGAGAAACACTGTTCTAAAGTCAATGGGGAAACCAGATTCTCTTAACCCCCGTGTTACTAACTTGACAACTGCATTGATTCACTGAACAACTGTGGCAAGTAACGTAATAAAATGGGCAAAACCTAGCAACTATCTCGCTTAGCAACAAAAAGTTTGGGCTCAGTTGCAGTCGTAAATCGAGGACTACCTGTACTCTCCAAATTACCAAATTCCAATGGGGAAAAGGAAAGGCAATTGATTCTTCATATTTTAAGCATTTCCCTGTATAGCGTACTGGTTCACTTGTTCTTTGAACTTATTTGCCAATTCTCTGAACTACTCAAAATTTCTGCTACCGATTCTCCAGAACCTGTTGGAACAGGCTGAATACCAACTCTGTGACCAATGATCCTCCACCCTCTAGACCAGTGTATCTCAACTTCAGCAACCTTAAGATATGTACACTTAAACACCCAGAATTCCCCAGCCAGCATGTCCTACCCTTCTGAAGGGTCAGATCATTAGATCACCCAATAGAAACATCGTACGATTTCCCTACAATGTTGATTCATTGGCCATCATCCAGATAACAATCATGCCTCTCTTCCTCTGGGCTAGTACCTAAAGACATAAATAAACACTGTTCTTTTCATCTAGACTTCTGCTTGGAAGCGGATCTCTGCATTTTTACTTTCAGTGCTGGGAACGTGCGAGATTGGTAATAACGATATTCTTATTTCCTGCATTACGACAATTGGACCCACCTTATGTAAATCTAAAACTTCTTCCTTTGGGTGACGTCTTAGCCCCATACACATTCAACAGGAAATGCTTAATATATTCCATCCTAGAGAGGAAGAGAGATCTGATTTGTATCTTCCTGCCCTTCTCCTTTCCTTTCCTCTCGCTTGTTTGATGTTTCCACCTAGCAATATATTCTGATTTCTACATCAAAAATCCGCTTGGAGAGAGTGGCATTGTTATTACTTTTTCAGGCAGAAATTGTGCCTTCCCTTCTCTCCAAATCTGATGACCAGACAAAAATCTGAAGGATCAGCTGAAGGCACAACTGCTGGAAAAGAGACGTCTGTGACTGGGTGACAACAAGGTCAAATGGAAATTCGGACTCCATAAGGGTGGTGTCATACCCATATGAGAAAAGGCATCTGCTCTCTAAGCCCAACAGGTGGAAGGAGAATAGATAGGATCACCAAGTTCCAAAGATCTACGGCTGAAAGATTTATTTATTTCATTTATTTAGTTTGTCAAACAAGTACAAGATAACAAGTATAAGTATAAACATGGGCATGAACAAAGGAAACAAGTACAAATAAATGGGGACAATAGGACAGGGACGATAGGCACTCTGGTGCGCTTATACACGCCCCCTTTTACAGACCTCTTAAGAATGGGGTGAGGTCCACCGTAGACAGTTTGAGGCTGAAGCTACGAGGGTTTGAGGATGTAACAATGGAGTCAGGTAGAGCATTCCAGGTGTTGACCACTCTGTTGCTGAAGTCGTATTTTCTNAAACCACTTAGAGAGGGCTGGAAAGCACCGTGAAGCAGTATATAAGAGCTATTGCTATTGGCCTCCCAACTCCAATGGCCTCTAAATGCAACTGCTAGAACTCTCCAATGCTCTTATATCTAAAGGAAATGAAAATTTCTTGTGCTTCAGTGCTGAAAATGGTTATGGGGTTTATTGCTAACTTTGTTTGTATTTGTTGGCTTTTCAACACTTCGGTGCCATGAAAGATATTCAAAGCAGCAGTAAATCATTTATCCCGGTTGGTAAATCCTTGTCCCGAATCAGCCCAGTTCTCATGTTTTCATATTCACTTTCTGTCTGATCTGGACTTTCAAAAAATGGCATCCAAAAATTGTGAGAATTAATGCAAAAAGATATTTTTCCTAAAGACACAATCTGTTCTCTCACATTCCCAAGAACATTTTTCTAGCTGTACCTCATCTTGATCTCTTGACTCATCAATTGAAACCAGTTTGTTCAGCTTAATTCACCAGAAAGTGGCTGTGAGAATAAGCAAGCCGCACAGCTTTGTGTCATAAAGTGTGATGATAAGGGAGCATCAGTGCTGTTGAACAAGCTAAGTGCAGGAAGGGAAGCATTTGAATCTGGCAAAAGTAAGACGCTATGTGAAGAGTGATCATTGCCCAATAATAATACAGTCTTGCAAAGTGAGTGGAAAATCTTTTGTCAACAGCAAAAGAGGTGAAAATATCTTGCGCAGTCTAGACTAGTGTGTGTATGTTTCCTTGAAGGAGAAGCAAATTGGTTTGCAAGTTGGAATTTTATTGATTGTTACATATCTTGAGTGAACTACAAACCCAATTTCCTGGGAAAGTTCACATCAGACAGAAAGACAGGAAAACAGAAGGGCATAAAGAAAGATGGAAAGATGATCAATTGGACTATTCATTTAACAGTCCAAACATCAAATATAACAGTTAAAGTACATATTAATGATGGTATTTTAAAATAAGAAGAAGTGCACAACAAAGCTGAAACAATTCATAAGATGAAGGAGGCATGGAAATGGTCACAGGAGGAGGAGAATGGTCACTTCATGGTCCTAAAAGGAACCTTGTTTTCTAACAATAGGTTGTGTAAGATCTGTTTGCCATTGTGTATGGAGAAAGGGTTGCTCCCGGTTCAGCCCAGATCGGGAGAACTGGTAGTGGCGGTGGCAGGAGGCTCCGTCCACCCGCCTGGACGCTTCTGTGCATGCATGCGCAAACCAGTAGTAAAAATAATGGAAACCCACCACGCTATTTTGCTGTGCACTAGCAAAATAGTGACATAACCTGGCCAGTCTTTCTAGTCATTTAATAAAAACCATAGGAAATTGCAAGGCTGGATTATGGTGGGAAGTTAAATAACTCTGTCTGTCTGTCTTTCTATCATCTATCTATCATCTATTGTCAGTCATGGGATTCAACATTTTTTACTATCTGTTCTGTGGGTGTGGCATGGCTTGGTGGGCGTGATAGGGGAAGGATACTGCAAAATTCCCATTCCTTTCCAATCTGCTGGGACTTGAGAGGCAGAGAATAGATGGGGTCAGTCAGAGGTGGTATTTACCGGTTCTCCAAACTATTCAAAATTTCTGCTACCAATTCTCCAG